ACAATCATTAACTAGTATTTCAATACTATTAAGATTATTCTTATCCATCATATATTCCATTGTAAAACCCTACATATTTAGAGATATGTAGCAGCAACTTAATCATCCCATGTAATACATAAATAATCATTTATGTATCTACACAATTCACACATGGGTAAAATGCCTATTTCACACAATAGTTCACTTACTCCATTTTTAACAATACTTTATCAAATTATTTCCCATTTCATTCCTTGAAAAGAAGATCAATATTCCGTCAATAATTTATCATCATAATCCATGGAAAACATGATTTAGGCATTTAGGTAATCTTATGCTTAACCTACAAGTTGTAAGCAACTAGATGTCGATCCTCACCTCAAATGAGCTTTAAAACTTTCCTTCTCAATCCAATGACCAAAACCTCGGCCAAAGTAGCTTGAGAACTGATTCCTTGATTAGAAATGAGTGTAAAACAGCCCCCTCAAAGTGCTAGCTCAACCCCTAATCGTTGATACGAAAACAGCCCCTAGAATGGGTGTTTTCCGGTTAACTCGTTTCCTAGTTTTCCAAGATTTGCTCTAGGTTAGTTGGTTTGACGAGGAGAAAGTTGAATCCAGACAGAATGAAGTAAGGCACTTGTATCATAATAGTTTGTACTTGAGAAAGTATGGAGAAAGTAGTGTTAATCCTTGGTTCCCAGGCGCGCAATAAAAGATTGTGATGTGTTCCCAGGACCTCATTGGATCCACACAGAATGAAGTAAGGCACTGCTATCATAATAGTTTGTACTTGAGAAAGTATGGAGAAAGTAGTGTTAATCCTTGCTTCCCAGGCAATAAAACAATCTGATGTGTTCCCAGGACCTCCCTGCCCAACCCTTCAATTTTAAAAAAAAATGGTCGTTGGGAGTAGAATTGGGATCGGGACCGCCCGGTTTGGGGTTCCGTTAAGCCAGACATCTTAGGATATTTTTACTTGGACTATTTTCGGTCCCAAATTATACTAGACGAGAATCCAATAGACCATAGCAAACTTAAACAGTCCAGACCAGATTTAAAAGAGACCATACCCGATCAGACTAAACTTCCGTAATTATAAATTACACATAGACCAGACATTTATTGGACCAGACCGTAATAGACCAGAGCATTAATAATAATAATAAAAACAACAACAACAATAACAACAACAACAACAACAACAACAACAACAACAACAACAACAACAACAACAACAACAACAACAACAACAACAACAACAACAACAACAACAACAACAACAAAAACAACAACAATATTAGTTATAATTAAAACATACTCCCTCCATCCCGATAGAAGGTTCACACTTTCTTTTTTGGGACATCCCATTACAAGGTTCTCATTTCTATTTTAGGAAACAATTAACAATCTTAATTGAAAAATTAGTCATAAAATTTCAAAAATAATACATTTATAACATCACATTTATCAATACTAACACATTATAACAAACACCTATTAAAATTATTTCTCAAAAATATACCCGAATACTTTATTTAATTATCACCTAAATAACCGTGCCGTTTTGCAACGGGAACCTTCCAACGGGACGGAGGTAGTATATATTTATAGAATACATTGTAGTAGTATTGCGTCACAAAGCAAATCCGAATATTAGGGTAATTAGGGAGTGCACAAATACATTATTCCTAAGATAAGATGATAATGATGTAATATAATGATGTGAGATTTTAATAAAAACACATGTCAATACTTCAAAAAAGGGTGAACACGCTGAATCGACTTAAATTGTCGAAGCTCTAGTTGGAGTGTCTGATTGAGCTGAATTTACTTAATCACGGGAAAATTATGCATATAAAATATTTTTAGTAATAAAATAAAGAAAACAAAATAAGAGTATATAAAATCGTTCTTTACGATGAATTATTTCAGCCAATTCGGCCATAGTAGTAACTCTAGCATCACTTAGTTTTATTAATACATAATTCAACGATCAAAATCATAGGTTACTGGTATGTATTTGCGAGAAAAGTCAAGAACGAGAGTTACCAAACCGACTCTACATATCCTAAATATATACTAGCTCCGTCTAAAAAACCTGTCATTTTTAAAACTTTGGTCAACTATATTTTGTTATTGGAAATTATTTATGATATAAAAATGTTCTTTGCTAAAAGTAGTTTCATAAACGTCTAAAATTTATAACTATCGTAATATTATATAAATCAAAATTATGAGATGACAATTTTATTTGAGATGGGGACACTATGGATGTTTTTACTTAGACTGTAATTTGCTGGCCTGATCTGATCTGAACTGGTCTGGTCTGGTTTTTTTGTATTCTTATAACTACGCAAGTCTGGTATGTTCTGATCTAATATGATCTGGTCTGATGTGGTATGGGACAAATTAGTAAAAACATCCTATATTTTACATTTGCATTTGGGATGAGAAACATATAAATGAGAAAAATTAGGTGTGGCCCAACAGTTCAGCCCACTGGGGGAATTCTATCCCAAACGAAATACGAGTATATGAGCAATCCGGGTCGGTCACTTCTTCAACTGGATTTCATCGTTCACTTCTTCAACTCACAACGGATTTCCAACTGATTTCAGCGTTCTTGAACGATTCCGGTTGTTCTCGGAGGAGCAAAATGGAACTATTTAAACGTGATTTCCAACTGATTTCATCGTCCACTTCCGCCCCCCATTCGCGTCCACCAATATGGATGTTCAGTTCTACCCCAAGGCAAAGGGGAGAGTTACTACACGCAACTCTTTCCAGAAGCTCACTCTGAGTGATGGGGCGGAGGCGGCCGCCGCCGGAAACGACAGAAGTTTCAGGAGAAGGAAGAGGTCAGCCAAGTTTTACCCCGGCCTTCAGAAGATGCGGGCAATTGCTTATCCCGAGGGCGGACAGGAAGAAACCGAGTCAGAAAATTCAGGTATATTGTTATTTTGTTATTTATTCTTATTCTTTTTCCCTTTCTCTACTTAAGCGTTTCTTCAATAGATTCAAGTCCCGAAGATTCAAGTTCCCAAGTTTCAAGTTCGGGAGGACCCCATGCAGAAGAGTTGTCAGAAGAAGAAGACGCTCCAAGATCAAAATTCTTAACTTCAATTTGTACACTCCTTCTTATTTGGCTAGTTTTAGGTAATTTCCACTCATTTGATTTTCTTTCCCCAATTAGATGCACCGGTGATGATTTATAGTCTTTATTGCAGTTATGGCAGTCTTTCTTTCACTCAACTAGAGCAGAAGATGCTCCCAGGCCTTTTGCACTGCATTCCTATTCCTCCTAGGTCAGCTAGATTTTAGGTCTTTAATTGATACTTTTTCAAATTCCTTGTTTATGCATTAATACTAAGCTGGTGATCATATTATTGTCCAGGCCGGAAGCAGTCAAGTTTCAGTCATCCAGAAGTATATAGTCTGATAACATGATCTAGTCTTTCTATTTGATTTGTAATCAATCATACTGTCGTGTTAATATGCTAGTTACTTGAGTACGTTTTCGATAAGGCATTTGTTCAGACCATGCTGTTGTGTAAATTCTTTCATATAATACTAAGCTGGTGATCATATTGTTTTCCATCTTACACTTTCATTTAAAACTCATTATAATTGCTAGCTCACATTCCCACCACTACAATTTGCTGCAAGTTGCATTTTCTTCAATCTCTGAGGATGGCAGGCCAGGGAAAGGGAACGAACAGTCATGATTTATTGATTTTTCTTTTCAATTGCAACTGAATTCTGCATCAGTATTTGAAATTATGTCAATGTGGATCAAATTGCTCTAGAATTTCAAATTAAGTTGGTATTAGGCATGGAACCTACTGTGCGGGACCGGACTGGACCAGCCCGGTGCCTCGGGTCCGAAACCCGTCCTTAACCCGATTTGAAAGGTAAAGCGGGGGCGGGCTCGGGCTGCTGAAATGGGGACCCCGGCCAGGCCAGGCCCGGTTTGGGCCCACAACTGTTTTGTTTTTTTGTTTTTCCAGTTTTATTGGGCTTCCCGGGTAGGGCTTAATGTTTTTTTTTTTTTTTTTTGGGGGGGGGGGGGGGGGGGGGGGGTCAGGAGGGGTGCAGGGCGGAGGGGGGGGGGGTCAGTGGGTAGTTTGGAAAGAAAAAAAAAAATATTACAACACGGCCCGGAGCGAGAAACGGCCCAACCCGAACTGGGCCCGGGTGGCAACCCGGGCCAGTCTCGGGCCTTCTCCCAAATACAAAAGGCCTGACTGGGCCTAGGCCCGGCCTGGACCCAGACCCGGTTTGGTCCAAGCCCAGATGGTATACATATTTTCTCCAGCTTGTGTGGTCTTATTACAATCATGAATATCATCATATAATTTTTTTTGCTTTTCTAATTAATTCCTACCCCAACCCTCCAAACCCGGCCAAAACACCCCACCCAACAAGCCTACCACCCCAACACAAGGAAAGAAAATACAGTAACGGGCCGGGCCTGGCCGGTCAACTTGGGCGCAGTCCATCCTTAAGCCCAACCATAAAATTTTTCAAAAAAAAAATATTTGGGCCTGAATCGGGGTGGCCGGGCAGATCGGGCCGACCCGACACAGGTCAAGTGGCCAACCCTAATTCACCCATGTCTAAAACATGGCGAGTAGAATTTCATTTAAACTAGTATTTCACGTGTACGCTGCGCGGGACATGTTTTTTTGTATTTTGTTTTTTAACGTAAGATGCATATTGAAATATTTTTGCAGAATATATTTGTTTAAACAAAAATGAAATACTTGTATGATATGTGACAATTGTTATACTAAATGCACTTATAAAATATTGTGGATACTTTACCCCAAAATATTCCGGATTCTAATTTAATTTCTAATACAATTTTCCGGATTCTAATTTAATTTCTAATACATCAAATGTAGTGCAGAATATTTAAAATATTAATAGTTTGTAATAGTACACTCATTATATTCATCATGAAATATGCACTATTACTTGGAGAAATTTTTATCTCTTATTCCCTGAGACTCTTAATGGAAATCGTGAGGAACAAGTTTCGAATTAATCCAGCAATTTAGTTTTGAGTGGAGTCATCATCTAGTGATTGAAATCGTGAGGAACAAGTTCATCATATTTGGAACACTTGTTTTAGATATGTTCACACATAGTAGGGTGTCCCCAATATTTGGAAAACTAAATCCTCCGAGGATAAGTGCCAAAACTACAAAGCCAGAATATCTACAAAGTGTGTGGTTAGATGCTTCAATGAAAAATGCTATAAATAGTGTTTCCTTTTCCCGTTTCTCTTCCCGAGCAACCTTCTCTTTTTCCCTTTTTATAGCAGAAACTTCCTCACAAGGATTAGGTAAGATGTTAGCTCCTTCGATATTTACTGGGTTCTGGTACCGCATCATCCTTTACAATATCATCAGCCTTGTTCTCCCACAGCTCAGTGTCTACCAGAGTTAAGATCTCCCCAATTGAATCTGTGGTGTAGTAAACTATATGATCCTTCCCCAATTGTTTTTTTTCTTTCTAGCTGGTGGAGGGGCTTACACGTAAAAGCATCATGTCCATGCTTTTTATAGTGAAAACGGTAATTAGGGAAGGTCTCATAGATGATGAATTGTCTTCTATTCTGCCTAGAGGGAAGCTTGATATCGACAAACAAAGTGTGAGGCTTAGAAGCATCAACTCCCACCAATATTCTAGCATAATCCAATCTCATCTTGTCAGTTGTCACTACTCACTAGTAATACCGTGATTGAATATAGGCAAGCCAACTCTTGAAGCGATCTTCCTAATATCTCCTCCTTCCAACAATCCATAGGTAGTTTGAGGCAGTATAGTCCACATGGGTACTCTCAAGAACTCCTCATCATCATAACTAAACCGTGCCTGCATATTTTTTAACATTAGTGCTCTCCCCGTGACAACATTAGGCCCCTCCATAAGTACTTTTGTTCAATCTTCTTCATTTGTTTTTTATCCGAAAGACAACCAAACCTCGTTCATGTGTTACCAATTTACATCTAATTCCCCAGGTTTCTGTGTGAAGATGAATAGCCCTCATACTCAAGAAAATCTTCCTCTGTTGATATGTATCTCAGCCGAAGACCTCTGTGCACTCACGTACCTCTTTCTCAGACACCTTCTGTGCACTCACCTCTTTATGTTCTTCATTTATTCTACCCTCTGTTTTCTGGTTCACTGCTTCCTCCTCCCTACTCATCTCTTCAACCTCTTCAAGAAGTGAGAAATATGTTGATGTCAACATCTACCTTCCTTTTATCATCATCTTACTATTCATCATAACCTGGGACTGGGGCTGGGGCTGCTTTGGATCAATTACATAATAGTCGGTGAAGGTACCAGTTTTCTCAGATGAAGCAGTCTTCTTATTCTTCTCCATCCTGAGAGGGAAGAACACAAACATCTCAAAGCGGGGAATATACTCTAAGCAAGCTACGACATAGGATCTCTATGGGATTACATAGATCTCAAATAAGCAAGAAAATGGGTGTTAATTTTCCAAGTTAGAAAGCTGCATGTAGTATTTTGTTGAAAAAATTACGTGTGAATAGGCAGTAGTAAGTCACGCATATTGATCTTGTAATGAAATGCAAATTTAAGCTATGTGCACCTTCATGTAATATGCCACATGCCCACATTACTATATCAATTGAGTTATTAGCCTCGAGCAATTTGTGAAAGATAAGTGAAATTTAAAGCATCAAATATCAGCAGCCAACAACCAATAATAGACAAAATCGCCAAATAATCAACAAGTCTGAAGTGGCAAAAAAATCCTAAATATTTTAGGATTAAAACTAAGTGAAAATGTGCCTGCCACACTACCTTGGCATATATAAATAGAACCAAGATCGTTAATTTCACTTCACAATCATGTCATACTCTTAGAAACTGTAAACAACATTTCAACCCAACTATATAATCTTCACCGAAATCGGAGAATTTAGAAAAGCAAAAAAAAAATACATGTCCCAAACTTATAACGCTGCTAAGTAAGATGAGGAAAATCAAAGATTGAAACAATATTTCAATAATCATCGTACAGTAAGATGGGGATAATCATGTTGGAAGGACCAAATAAAGTAACGCATTCCCATAGTATTTTTTTTAAAAGTTATTTTATCTACAAATAAAGTAAAACATTTTTATCAAACTTGGGGCTGAATCCGAGCAAGACATTGCCCCATTAGCTACACCGGCATTTAGTAAAGATGCAGGGTGGTAAATAAGACAGGTCAATAAAAAGATTTTTTCCAGATAATTTTCTGCAGAACTTTCCACATGCATGAGAAAAGATCTAAATTTATGGAGGGTTCATACCTATGCTTGTGGTAGTGTTTATGTGCATATATACAAAAAGTGTCCATATTTTGTTGTACATATACGAAATACTATTGCACAACACAAGCAAAAAAAGCTGTTTGATAAAGCTTTGTTAAATCAATGGTAGTTTTTTTTGTAAAAAAAAGGCCCTTGGACCCTTAATCTAGTTGTAAAAAATCATGTTCACTACATTGCAAATGTATCCATGATCATAGTCACAAAATTTTCAAAAATAGTGGCTGGGTATAAAATGTCACATTTTTTTCTGCCATATGGATTTATTCATATACAACTCACTATTTCTATTTTATTATTAACATATAAAAAATTGTTGTAGGCACATGGTTGGGTTTTCCTTAATAAAGTTTAAAAAGTATACATCTAGCTCTTGAAGTTTTATAAAAAGAATAATAGAAAAAAAATAGTGTTTCACGTACGTGTTTTTAAACAAACACCAAGGTGCATATATCTGGCTCTTGAAATGCAAATACTGATGCTGCAACCTTCACTAAATATTAGAGTAGCTAGTTCCTTGTATTTCATTCATAAAGAGTTAATTGTTCACCGATTTGTGTTATGTGTACAGTTGAAAACGAAAGTGATGAACACCTCTTTATGGAGTGTTCAGTGACTCAACAACTATGGTGAACTTTAAATTGGAACTTACAAGTTGCAGGGCAGTCTTTTGTGGCCTGGACAGAAGGATTTTTAGATGCGGGATGAGAAATTTTGAGGCAGCTTTGTCGTGTATCTCTGGAGTATTTGGAGAAGCAGAAACGAGAAATTCTAAAAAGAAGCTCAGAGTCACAAATTCTCGTTGAGTTACAAGAGATTGGACTGATTCCTTGTTGAGTATTCAATGAGAATGGAGGAGTACTATGCAAACAAATTCTTTATTTTCTAAAGCATAGTAGGACTGATTCCTTGTTGAGTATTCAATGAGAATGGAGGAGTACTATGCAAACAAATTCTTTATTTTCTCTAGGGAAACAATTTTTCCAGAACATAATAACACATAGTAAAACTCAAGTGTTTCTGGAATGTAGACTTCCATTACTGATTTGAGAGAGCACGAAAATGACGGAACCGCTGAGTTATGGAAAAAAAATAAGGTGAAATAAGTCATAGATTGTGACTTATGCAATTTAGGGGTTGAGCCTTTGCGGTAAAGCAAAACTCCAATAGTATTGCTATTATGTAAAAAGAATTAAGTCTTTTAGGATCGGACATACCTTAGTATTGTAAATTGTAATTCATTGAAATGATGCAGGAGCTTTTGAACTAAAAGTTGATTTCGCATCTTCGATCAACAACCTCCTGCACGACAAAAAGACTTCGATTAATTTTCCGAAATAAATACACTGAAAGAAACATAATCATGTTAATAACAATCACTTCAGTAAAAGTAATAGCTGCATTTATGAAAATAATCAAGTGGGAAAAAATCAAATTGAACAAAGAGAGGATAAGCGTAATAGGAACCTGGGCCTAATAGTAGACTAATAATAATAGCAACGGACCGGGCTTATTAGAAGTATTAATAATAAGAAGTGTTTGAGTCTAGTATAAATAAGTAGATAGCAAGGGAAGTGGGGGAGGCGGTTTTTAGATTTGGACTCGGCACTTGGGAAGATTTGAGACTGGCTGTCTCTATCTTTGGGAAGCTTCGGCTTATTTAGGAGGCTTCGGCCTGAGATTTCTGTACGGTTCATATTGATTCAATAAAAATGTTCATCTGTTCTTCTTAATCTTTCTGTAATTGCTCTGGATTTTTGGAGATGTCTATCAATTGGTATCAGAGCAGCATCGATCGCTGGATGAGAATTACGCGCGCAAAGATGGAAGGTAGATTGAACGAAGTTGAGTGAGATATGGCGGATTTTGGACGGAATCGGAGAGAATTGCAAACACATATGGATAGGAGTATGCGTGAATTACAGAATAACATGGCGGCGATGCAGGCCTCGTTACAAGCAAACATCGCGGAATTGCAGAACCAGATTTTACATAGATCGCGTAGATCCAGTCACTCGCATCGATCCAGTGACTCGCATCGATCACATCATCGTAGACATGCGAGGGATGATGATAGCTCAGGAGGTTCAGATAATCAGTCGAACCCTACCGGCTCTCCCCAGGGTCTCGGACCTCACCGGAGTCATCCACATCAACACCACACAGGAAGGAAGATTGAGTTGCCTATCTTCAATGGAAGCGATGCTAGCGGTTGGTTGATGAGGATAAATCGCTACTTCCGATTGAATAACACGGAAGAAGAGGAAAAAATTGATGTAGCGGTGCTCGCAATGGAAGACCAAGCTCTCAGCTGGTTTCGGTGGTGGGAGAGGCAGGCTACGCATCAAAACTGGAACTCTTTTACTCAAGCTTTGACCAGATGCTTCCAGCCAGACATGGTCAAGGATCCCCTGGGGCCTTTATTCAGTTTGAAGCAGAAAAACACCATAGAGGAATATCGAGACGAATTTGAGACTGCAATTGCGACACAGGGACACTTAACTGAAGAGGTTTTGAAGGGAGCGTTTCTTAAGGGCCTTAAGCGCGATGTAAGAGCTGAGTTGAAGCTATACTCTACAAGAACTTTGGCTGAAGTTATGGATGTGGCTTCTTTAATTGAAAACAAGAACACTGAAGTTTGTATCATGAAGAACAAAGATGAAAGGAAGAAGAAATGGCTTGGTAATAGTCAGCATCATAATTGGGAGGATGAAAATAAATGGAAGAATCAACCTGTTAACTCTATTAGTTTGGACAAGGCTACAGTTGATAACACGATAAATTGTGATGTGCAAGAGCAGAACATGATAAGGAATGGCTCCAGATTATCCCAAGAAGAATTATTAGATAGAAGCAAGAAGGGACTCTGTTTTAAATGCGGTGAAAACTGGGGTAGGAGACATGTTTGCAAGATGAGGAACTATAAAATGATCCTAGTGGAGAATTCTGAGGATGAAGCTGGTTCTGAAGTTGAATTACTGGAGTCTGGAAAAGATAACACCATACCCCTAGAATTGAAGACCATGCAGTTTTCAGTATTAGGTGAGGAGGGCATACCATTTAAGAAAACATTTATGGTAAAAGGAGGAATGAGGTGGCCTGATGGAGAAGTGACAGTGAATGTACTTATGGATACTGGTGCATCTCACAATTTTATCTCACAAGACTGTTAAGGAGGCGAGAGCTAGCCCTAGTCCAGGGATGCGTTCGAGATATTAATCGGGAACGAGAAAAATAATCAGCAGAGTTTAATGAAGCTATTCTTGTTAAACTAATCGGCGCCCGACCTTGTCAAGACGCACAAATTAATTCTCCAAAAACGTACTTTATTCCATAGCAAAAACCCCTTTATATAGAGAGGCTGCTTAGGAAAGAAACAATAATTAGAAACAAGACTAGAATCAGGACTTAAAAATAGAATTAGGAAACAGTATCCTTGTTTCCCAGTTCAGCCATATTAAGTAACTAGAATAAGGAAATAAACTATAATTAGGAAACGAACTAGAATTAGGAAACTATATCCTATTCCCAACTTCAGCCACTTCCAGATGTAGACTCTCGGGCCCTTGGACCATTTATGCGTCGTTTATAAGTGTGACCCCAAAAAGAGTCCACAACATCACTCCCCCCGTTAGCAAAGAGCTTGTCCTCAAGCTTAAAATCCGGATAAGCCTTGCGAAATGACGCCACTGTTTCCCAAGAAGCTTCTTCTATGGGCTTCTCATGCCACTGGACCAACACCTCCATTACCCCGCGATTCAGCCGACTGCGCAACACTGTGGATGGCCTCAAAACCTCTGGGACAGTATCTTGTGGTGGCAAGGAACCCATGGTTTCTGGTACGGGTCCTTTGTGTGGCTTGAGGAGAGATACATGAAAGACATTATGTATGCGGCTCTCTGTGGGTAACTGTAGCTTGTATGCCATTGTACCAATCCTTGCGGTGACTTGAAAGGGACCATAAAATTTCGGCAGTAACTTGTGGTGACGGGAGACTAGTGTTAACTGCCGGTATGGATGCACACGTAACCAGACCCAATCACCTACCGTGAAAGATAACTCGCGGTGCCCTTTGTCATAATATTGTTTCATGCGGTTCTGTGCGTGAGCGAATCGTAGTCTAGCCTCAGATACGATGATGTCGCGGTTCAGGAGTTCCTGCTCTACGCCTTCTAGCTTAGCTGTTCCAGGGGTATATGTCACCAGTTTGGGGGGGTCTCGTCCATAAACTAATCGGAAAGCTGTGTGGTAAGAAGTGTTGTAACAATACTCCACCCATGGAAGCCAACGAACCCACTTGCGAGGGTGTGCGCTAGTGAGACAACGCAAGAACATTTCTACCGTTCGATTGACAATTTCTGACTGGCCATCAGTTTGAGGGTGGTAGGCCGACGAAAAGGCAAGTTTGGTTCCTGACAAACGGAATAACTCCCTCCAAAAGTTACTCACAAAAATTTTATCTCTGTCTGAGACAATGGATTCTGGTAATATCCCGAGCGTAGGTCAAGTTTCGTGAAGTAAGTTGCTCCGTGAAGCTCATCCAATAGCTCATCAATTACCGGAATGGGGAACTAATCTTTAACAGTCTTGGAGTTTACCTCTCTGTAATCAACGCAAAAACGCCAGGACTTGTCTGGTTTACGTACGAGAAGTACAGGAGAGGAGAATGGAGATCGGCTTGGTTGAATAATCCCTTGCGTCAACATTTCAGCACATTGTTTTTCAATTTCATCTTTCTGGAAATAAGGGTAGCGGTACGGACGTACCACAACTGGACCCGTGCCTGGGAGTAAGGTAATGCGGTGATCACATGCACGCTGGGGTGGGAGGCCAGAGGGGTTGTGAAAAAGATCCTCAAAATGCAATAGAAGCTCATTGAGAGAGGGTTTAGAACTGTCCTGACAGATTGCCATGTGAGAGACAGTTGAAACATCGGCCCCACGACCCTTCCATGTCACTGGTTTGCCATTCCAAGTAAACTGCATGGAGAGTTTTGAGAAGTCCCATTGTATGGAGCCAAGCCCACAAAGCCATTGGATGCCCAAAATCATATCAAAACCGGATAACGGCAGTACATAAAAATCTGCATGAAAGTCATCTTGATTAACAGTGAACGGAAGTCGCGAACATGTACCAATGATGGGTACTCGGTCTCCATTAGCCACCAAAACTTGTAGGCGGGTGCCCGAGTGCTGCTGCAGGGTGTTCATGGGGACCCAACGTTGGTGGATAAAATTGTGAGTACTTCCTGAGTCGACCAAAACCTTCAGGGACTGTCCAAACAAGGTTGCGGCTAGTTGCATGGTGGAATGTGACCCGAACCCAGTCATTGCGTTGATTGACAAGGAAGGCTCACTCTGGGTTTCAGGGGCCTCTTCAAAGTCGTCATCCACAATTTCGACGAAAAATAATCGTTTGCATCGGTGGCCACGGATCCACTTTTCATCACAGTTGTAGCATAATCCTTTTTCTTGTCGTGCAGCAGCTTCAGCCCGAGTTAATTTTTTAAACGTAGGGTTGTAATTTTTCTTTACTGGTGTCGGCTCAGGGATAACGGAGTGAGGAATTTGAGTACTGGACCTACCGGATCCATATGTACTGATGTTTGTTAAAGTCGCAGCTGCGATGAATTTGCGCTCGCTGCTTCTGGCGAGCATCATGGTTGTGTCAAGATCAACGGGTTCCTGGTATTCGACCTCCACGCGTACTGCCTCGCGAAGTCCAGCCATAAAAATTTTGATTTGCATGCGGGTCGACACTCCAGCTGTTCGGGCTAGCAACTGCTGAAACTTAGTAATATGAGACTCTAAATCAGACGTTTGCTTTAAATTCACCAGATCACCCTCCGGGTTGTGGCTGCTTGGGGGCCCAAATCGTTTTGAACAACGGATATAGAACTCCGTCCAGTTAAGGCTTGTTCCCGCTGGATCTAACTGATCTGCCCAAAGTTGGGCATTACCAGTCATGTGAAAAGTAGCCAACCCTACTTGTGCCTGCGGTTGGATGCGCTGTTGCACAAAGAACCGCTCGCACCGCTTCAGCCACGCTAATGGATCACTGGATCCATCGTACTGGGGAAACTCCAACTTGGAGTAGCGTGGAACCATCCCATCGTCTGAGTCGTGTTGGTGGTTATCGGTATGCCGTGGCCGCCCAGCATGTGGACTGGATGATGGAGGATCCTGCAACAATTGGTTGAGAGTGTTTGACAGGCTGGTCACAGTTTTGCTCATCTCAGCAAACGCTGCTGGAATTCCTGCCAAGTTGGTTACGGTGTTCTTGATATCGGCCAACTGTTCTTCAACGTCAATTTGACGTTGATCGACGCCTTGTAATAAGGCCTTCAATGCTTCAATTGTCACCGGTGCGTTGCCCATCGTGCCCAAATCTGATACCAAATTGTTAAGGAGGCGAGAGCTAGCCCTAGTCCAGGGATGCGTTCGAGATATTAATCGGGAACGAGAAAAATAATGAAGCTATTCTTGTTAAACTAATCAACGCCCGACCTTGTCAAGACGCACAAATTAATTCTCCAAAAACGTACTTTATTCCATAGCAAAAAACCCTTTATATAGAGAGGCTGCTTAGAGTTCTAAATAGGAAAGAACCAATAATTAGAAACAAGACTAGAATCAGGACTTAAAAATAGAATTAGGAAACAGTATCCTTGTTTCCCAGTTCAGCCATATTAAGTAACTAGAATAAGGAAATAAACTATAATTAGGAAACCAACTAGAATTAGGAAACTATATCCTATTCCCAACTTCAGCCACTTCCAGATGTAGACTCTCGGGCCCTTGGACCATTTATGCGTCGTTTATAAGTGTGACCCCAAAAAGAGTCCACAACAAAGACTTGGTGGAAAGATGGAAGATCCCTTACACTCCAATTCAGGAATACAAAGTACAAACTGGAAATGGAGATTGCATAACCAACTATGGCAAGTGTGCAGGAGTGGGCCTGAACGTACAAGGGGTGGAGATTCAGCAGACATATTACTTAATGGAATTGGGAGGCATTGATGTAGTCCTGGGCATGGAATGGTTAACTGATTTAGGTGATATGGAAGTTAATTTCCAAAACCTGATCATAAAATGGAAGAAGCAAGGGCTGAATCATATAATTCAAGGAGATGGACATCTGTGGCACAGGGAGGGACAAAGTAATGAGCTAAAGCAAGAACAGTAAATTGAAGGCAGAAGAAATGAGTTTATAAAGGAGTTCCCTGAAGTTTTCAAGTCAATTCTGGATAGAAGGTCCTGGCGTTTGTGTAAATCTGCTATCAAAAGCATAGGGAAGAAGATGGAAGCAGCCCAGCTAAGTATCCAGAAATCCAGCCAGTATTGGAAAGGAAGAGGTGCTAGGATGAAAGAAAAGATGAAGATTGTGGTTGTGTCCTATCACCCACCTTGAGGGCAAGGTGGATGTTTAGGGGGGAGTATTAATAGGAACCTAGGCCTAATAGTAGACTAATAATAATCGTAACGGACCGGGCTTATTAGAAGTATTAATAATAAGAAGTGTTTGAGTCTAGTATAAATAAGTAGATAGCAAGGGAAGTGGGGGAGGCGGTTTTTAGATTTGGACTCGGGACTTGGGAAGATTTGAGACTGGCTGTCTCTATCTTTGGGAAACTTCGGCTTATTTAGGAGGCTTCGGCCTGAGATTTCTGTACGGTTCATATTGATTCAATAAAAATGTTCATCTGTTCTTAATCTTTCTGTAATTGCTCTGGATTTTTGGAGATATCTATCAAAGCGCCTTAACCCCAAAGTGCACAGTTACGTTTGAAAGTAACAACATCTTAATAATAGCAATCACTTCAGTAAAAGTCATAGCTGCATTTAAAAAAAATCAAGTGGGGAATAATCAATTTGAAAAAAGAGAGGATAGGTGCCTTAACCCCAAAGTGCACAGTTATGTATGAAACTAGCAAGTCACTCAATGCTAAAAAGGCAACTATAACATACTTTTCATGTGCTGCATCTCGAGTTCCAAATTAGTGGAGTTCAAAGTTGGTCTGTTAATTGTTTCCAGCTTGTAAATCTATTTGACATTCTGGTTTCGTTTCTTTACTGAAATCCTTTTGTGTGTCATAATATCTAAGATGCAGCAACAATGTTTTTGGAAAGAGAGTTGGCTTCTAAGGTATATATATATGACTCCTATTGATAGATGATCATAAGGCAATATATCACATACGAATGCTATAAAGGGTCCAGTAGTCCAACCCTAATATGAATTCTTTGAAAATAAATCATTCTGGTAAATGTTAATTAATTAATACAAATGAATAACAGTGAACAGAAGTTTACTTGAGTTGAATTAGTAGTATAAATAATGAATCAGAGACAACTAACTTTTGTGGATTGCAGGTTCTCGCTGAACGTGTAAGCAAATTGGAATCTACTACGGCCAACATCGTTCAATCGACAGATAGCTTAAAGGAGACCTTTCTGAATCAAAACAAAAAATCAAGCCCATGGACAACACCACCTCAAATCCTACCTCAAATCCTACCATTCACCCCAGAGCAACACCAAACACCACCATCTGCTATGTGATGATTTTTTTTATAATTTACAGGTCGATGATGGTACAAGGCTTAAGATGATGGCATTACATCTGGTCTTGGATAAATTCAACATTTTGCATGAAGCGGTGTTGAAGATCTCTCGATGACATGTTTGATTTTACTATTGATAAATTAGAGTATTAGAGTTACTTTCATAGCTTTTTTGAATGAAGCTAGTTACAATTTCGCGATTACTCTACGGATATCTTAGACCCGATTAGTTAAAATTTCAGTTTTCCCAATTTCGTTTTTTTTTAATAAATTTCTCTATTCTTCGAGTAATCTATTGTTATTTATCAATGTTTCTATTGTCTATATGCTTTGCATTAACGTGTTTGTAAATGCTAGAATAAAAGTCTTTACTTTGAAGTAAAAAAAAAAAAGATAAACTATTTTCTCCAATATAACATTACGTACAACAGAAAGACAGAGCAAATAAAAGGATTCTGCTGGTGTGTGAATATCTTTGCAGTTACTATAATATGATGGAAAACATAAGTGTGTTTGCTTGAAGGGAGTTTACAGAGTGTGGATATGTTTTCCAATATCTTTGAAGTCGTGTGCTCTCATTTGTGCTTGAGAAAGTCATGCACAGAATGTGTATTTATGCTCCAAAGTTTCAGACATTAATCACATTTTAAATTTCTAACAAAACTATCTTCTGCCAGAGAAGTATTTTTGCTAGACAAAAAGTGGCATCTATCATGCTACATCCTATAATTTTATGAAGCATACCCGTGTAACCTGTACGTTGGGCTCAAATACTAATCATCATAATACCTAAATTAGAACTTCAAGTTCCATTTAATATTCCCAAAATATATTGTGATAATCAGAGCACAGTTCAGCTAGCTCATAATTGTTAGGGATCTACCTATTAGATTAATAATAATAATAATTCTAATAGGAATACTAGAAGAATAGACACTGTTTAGTGGGCCTGTTATTTTGGGCCCATTATTATAGAGAATAATAAGAGGGCTTATAGCCTTATACTATAAATAGAAAGGGGAAGGAAGGCATAAGGAGGCTTTTTAGACATTTTGGTCTTGGGACTGGGAAGAATACGAGACTGAACATCTCGATCTTTTGGGGCTTCGGCTTTGGGGGCTTCGGCCTTTGTACTGATACTGTTCATCTTCTTCAATAAAGATTACTTTGTTTCTTGATAGATTTTCTGTAACTGTTCTGAGTTTCTGGAGGTTTCTATCAATTGGTATCAGAGAGTGTTCGATCGCTGGATGAGATACACGCGCGCAAAAATGGAGGGAAGAATTAACGACGTTGAACGGAATCAGAGAGAGATGGAAGCGAGGACTGAACGACATTTGCAGGAAATGCAAAACACTTTGCTGGAGAGATTGGCAGCGATGCAAACTGACATCGCGAGGTTGCAGGTGAATCGATCGGAACGATCGAGGAGCCAATCGCATCGATCGCATAGGTCCAGTACTTCGCATCGAACAACTACCTCGCATCACAGCACTCGTCATCAACACAGGAAGAACAGCTATCACTCAGATGATTCAGATCATCATTCCGAACACTCTGAATCAAACAGCCATCGCGATCCACACTGGATTCACAGGAAGCAACATCCGGTTGGAAGGAAGATCGATCTACCTATTTTTAACGGAAAGGACGTGTTCGGTTGGCTGGTGCGGATGAACCGATACTTCCGGTTGAACCGTACTGATGAGGAGGACAAAATTGATGTGGCGGTGGTGGCTATGGAAGACCAATCGCTGAGTTGGTTCCAATGGTGGGAGGGACAAGCTCATCGACAAAACTGGAAGACTTTCACAAAAGCTCTGGCGAAGCGTTTTCAACCTGATTTGGTGCAGGATCCGTTAGGACCTTTATTAAGTTTAAAACAGAAGGGGACAGTACAAGAGTACAGAGATCAATTTGAAACAGCCATAGCTTTTCAAGGACACCTCACTGAAGAAGTCCTGAGAGGGATTTTTATGAAGGGATTAAGGAGAGATGTCCGAGCTGAATTGAAGCTATATTCTGCAAAGTCCTTGGCAGCAGTAATGGATACAGCTACTTTAATTGACAACAAGAATCTGGAAGCCTTGATTGTAAGGAACAAGGAAGAGGGGAGGAAGAAATCACAGAACAAAATTCAGAATTGGGGAGATGACAGGAATTGGAAAAATTACAAAGGCAATCTTGAGATGGTATCCAAGAGGACTGAGGATTTCAACATCAACAGAGAGGAAGGAGAACAGAATAAGAAAAGTGGCCCAAGATTATCTCAAGAAGAGTTAATGGAGAGGAGCAAATAGGGGCTTTGTTTCAAATGTGGTGATAAGTGGGGAAGAGAACATATATGTAAGATGAAAAACTTCAAAATGGTTCTGGTGGAACAGTCTGAAGGTGAAGAACATTCTGAGGAAGACTCTGGTAGTTCTGAGGGGAATAAGGCTACTCACATGGAACATAAAACTATGCAGCTGTCCATTTGGAGTAAGGAGGGCATATCTTCTATAAAAACTTTTAAGGTTAAGGGCAAAATGAGCTGGCCTGGAGGAGAGAGGATGGTGAATATCCTCATTGATACTGGAGCTTCACACAATTTTTTATCACAGAAATTAGTGGAAGAATACAACATTCCTTTTCAACCTATACAGGGGTATAAGGTCCAAATTGGGAATGGTAAATGCATTACCAATGCGGGCAGAAGTAATATGGTAAAGATGAAGATTCAAGGCATAGATATTCAGCAGACTTACTACCTGCTAGAGCTGGGAGGCACTGATGTAGTGCTGGGAATGGACTGGCTAACTGGATTGGGAGACATGGAGGTTAACTTTAAGGAGCAAATCTTAAAGTGGAGACAACAAGAAAAGAATTGCATCATTAAAGGGAATACTGCTTTAAATCAGATGGAGTTGTCTAGCTTGGTGCAGATGGAAGAAACTGAAGGACCACGGAAGAAGATCAGATCAGACATTGAATATAGTGTTGAAGGAGTTGACTCTGAATCCTCAGACACTAAATGTTGCTTGGTTTTATCGTTGCATCACACTGGCAAAGAGGTTCAGGGCATGTACATAAGTTCTGCTAATGGTGTAGGTGGTACACCTCAGGAAGATAAGGAGATAATTGTGGCTATTGAAGGCCTGAAGACTAATGAAGAAACTGAAAATTCATCAGAGATATTATATGCTGCAGTAACATCTATGAATTGGAATAATCAAGTAGAGAAGCTCTTTTCTCAGAAATCAGTTAGATATTGGGAAGGTAGAAGCGCAAGAAAGAGGATGAAGCAAAAGATCTTGGCTATCTCTTACCACCCACCTTGAGGGCAAGGTGGATGTTTAGGGAGGGAGTATTGTTAGGGATCTACCTATTAGATTAATAATAATAATAATTCTAATAGGAATACTAGAAGAATAGACACTGTTTAGTGGGCCTGTTATTTTGGGCCCATTATTATAGAGAATAATAAGAGGGCTTATAGCCTTATACTATAAATAGAAAGGGGAAGGAAGGCATAAGGAGGCTTTTTAGACATTTTGGTCTTGGGACTGGGAAGGATACGAGACTGAACATCTCGATCTTTTAGGGCTTCGGCTTTGGGGGCTTCGGCCTTTGTACTGATACTGTTCATCTTCTTCAATAAAGATTACTGTTCTGAGTTTCTGGAGGTTTCTATCAATAATCCAGTTTTACATTCCAGAATTAAACATTTGGATATTGATCTCTTCTTTGTAAGAGAAAAGGTGCATCTGAAACAGCTTGAAGTCTTTCATATCCCAGCACATAACCAACTGGCTGATGTTTTGACCAAGCCTCTATCTTCCTCAAGATTTCTGGAGCTCAAGAAAAAACTTAGTGTGATTGAATTTAATTCTCAATCACCCTAGCTTTGAGGGGGGGATGCAACTAGCTAGGCGCTATTTCTATGTCTGATGGCTGGTTTTAATTTGATAATCCACCAAGTTATATTTGTTGTATTTGAACAATGATTTTATTAATAATAGTTGATTCCGCTTTTATAAAAAAAACCGTAAAGTAAATAACCTATTCTAAACCATATTCCCAAGTCAACTATTTCTAATCATAAATGAAAAAAAAAATATTAAATCGGAATTAGAAATCTATCTTAGAGTAACCATTTTTAAGAACATTAGTTGCACATAAATCCGATCACAAAAAATAATCAAGAGTTACGCAATTAAGAACTTTGATTGAAAAAATATCCAAGGACATTCTCGTTCTTAGAAATTCTAAAATGAAGCTCAGAGTTACAAATTCTCGTTGAGTTACAAGAGATTGGACTGATTCCTTGTTGAGTATTCAATGAGAATGGAGGAGTACTATGCAAACAAATTCTTTATTTTCTAAAGCATAGTAGGACTGATTCCTTGTTGAGTATTCAATGAGAATGGAGGAGTACTATGCAAACAAATTCTTTATTTTCTCTAGGGAATCAATTTTTCCAAAACATAATAACACATAGTAAAAATCAAGTGTTTTTGGAATGTAGACTTCCATTACTGATTTGAGAGAGCACGAAAATGACGGAACCGCTGAGTTATTGAAAAAAAATAAGGTGAAATAAGTCATAGATTGTGAGTTATGCGATTTAGGGGTTGAGCCTTTGCGGTAAAGCAAAACTCCAATAGTATTGCTATTATGTAAAAAGAATTAAGTCTTTTAGGATCGGACATACCTTAGTATTGTAAATTGTAATTCATTGAAGTGATGCAGGAGCTTTTGAACTAAAAGTTGATTTCGCATCTTCGATCAACAACCTCCTGCACGACAAAAAGACTTCGATTAATTTTCCGAAATAAATACACTGAAAGAAACATAATCATGTTAATAACAATCACTTCAGTAAAAGTAATAGCTGCATTTATGAAAATAATCAAGTAAGAAAAAATCAAATTGAACAAAGAGAGGATAAGCGCCTTAACCCTAAAGTGCACAGTTACGTTTGAAAGTAACAACATCTTAATAATAGCAATCACTTCAGTAAAAGTCATAGCTGCATTTAAAAAAAAAAAATCAAGTGGGGAAAAATCAATTTGAAAAAAGAGAGGATAGGTGCCTTAACCCCAAAGTGCACAGTTATGTATGAAACTAGCAAATATTGTTATTTATCAATGTTTCTTAACCCCAAAAGTAATATATTGTTATTTATCAATGTTTCTATTGTGTATATGCTTTGCATTAACGTGTTTGTAAATGCTAGAATAAAAGTCTTTACTTTGAAGTAAAAAAAAAAAAGATAAACTATTTTCTCCAATATAACATTATGTACAACAGAAAGACAGAGCAAATAAAAGGATTCTGCTGGTGTGTGAATGTCTTTGCAGTTACTATAATATGATGGAAAACATAAGTGTGTTTGCTTGAAGGGAGTTTACAGAGTGTGGATGTGTTTTCCAATCATCTTTGAAGTCGTGCGCTCTCATTTGTGCTTGAGAAAGTCATGCACAGAACGTGTATTTATGCTCCAAAGTTTCAGACATCTATAGATAATACAATTGAAAGATACGATTATAGAAAGTTTTGACACATGTCAATTCCACAGTTATTTGTTTTAATATTACTTTCCAAATAAAAGAAATCTATAACTATGCACCACTATATTTCGGTAATTCATATACGAGTACTACTCCAAGTACTACTCCAAACTAAAATACAACTCCTATTATTTAGGGATCCACCAAAATAAAATTCCATGTTTTTTAAAGTGTCATAACTTTTTTATTTGTAATCTGATTATTACAAAAAATATATCAATATTCATAACTTTTTATTATCTTTCAAATGACACCAATATTGAATACAAAAAATTAAAAAAATAATTTAACACTTTAAAAACATTTGTTTCTTAAAGTGATATAACTTCTTTATTTGTATTTCAATTGTTGCAAAAAATATATCACAAATCATAACTTTTTATTATCTTTCATATGACACTAATATTGAATATATAAAGATAAAAAATATTTGTAACACTTTAAAAACATATGTTTCTTAAAGTGATATAACTTTTTTATTTGTATTCCGATTGTTACAAAATATACGGAGTATATCACAAATCATTACTTTTTATTATCTTTCATATGACACCAATATTGAATATATAAAGATAAAAAATAGTTTACCACTTCAAAAACATATGTTTTTTCAAGTGCTACAGAGTATAATTTTTGGTAGTTTCTATGGTACCCATAAGGTACCATACCTTTGTCCACATGGACCAATGAAAAGGTAGTAATTCAATTATTTAAATCTAAATTAAAATTGATAAAATGATGTGGTCCAATCAAATGAATGCTAGGTACGGTACCCCTGTTTTTAGAAAGGTACCGGAGTTGTCACCATAATTAAATACTAAGCCTCATTTAATGAATATTAATAGCAAATTTTATTAATATTTAATAAAAACTTTAAAAATACAATTATGAATAGAAATTTTGGTGCATTCGATAAGAATTCATAGTTCTATACGTTATTTATGTACAATTTTCTCAATGTCCATAGATGAGACATTTATCATACAAGACCATGTTATATCAGATCGAATCAGATCAAACTAGAAAATTTTAGTTTTCAATTAAAAACATTTTTAAAGGAGTCCTCCCTAAAATTTAGAAATCCATATCAGATTGAATAAATCTCCCAAAAGATTTTATGCATTCTAATGTCTTGATATACTTAAGGTACATGTATTCCAAATGTAAAACAAGTATTGAAAATTTTAAAATCTTATTTTTAATATGGAGTATTTCTTTGATTTCAAAATATAATAATATTAAAAATTCTATCCGTGCCGTCAAATGATGTGAACAAAATTAAAAACACAATATTTATGTTTATTTGTTAAAAAGAACTTTTTTTGGAAAGCACAAAAAACCTAAAGAGACTGGTTTTTTAACCCCAGGGGGCGTCGGGGGGAGGGGGTTTGGGGGGCCTAGGGTAAACTATTGCATGCAAAATAAATTTAATAGCTATATTAATGTTGCTAAACAGTAACTTCAGTCGATCAGTCACAACTACGTGTTTGGTAAAAACGTTGTTGATAAGCTGAAAACAAGGGTTGCCAAACGGGCTAATTGCTAGATTAGGGCTATGTTTGGCATTTCGAGTCGTAAGTGGAGGCTAATGTCTGAACTTTTAAGAGATATTGTCTGAACTAGAAAATATTGTCTAGAGCCGAATTTTGATATGTTGCATATATCTAAACTATAATTACTTGAATGAGGTAAATCTGTTTAACAAAAAGAGATGAAATGCTCAGATAAATTGACCTGACCTGATCATATCAAATCATATTAGATCACAATAGAAAATCAGACAAAAAACAGTCCATTAAAAACATTTCTATGAAGTCCTCAATAAAATTTAATTTAGAACTCCGTGTTAGATTAGAATTCAACAAATCTCATGAGTAAAATTCCGAGTTAATTAGTTTATTATGGAGTTAATTGCAATACAAGCGGAAGTGAGGCATGCATACAAAACCAAATTAACTTATTATGAAGTTAATCATTCATATATTAAAAATATTCATGTGTAAATTTTCATTTGTCACCAAATTTGATATGGTGACACATAATTTGGTACTAAAATACAAAAAGGGACTACATAAATTATACAAATAACCTCAAAAACTAATTCCTTGATTAAGATCTAATTGAGAAAACAAATCTAAAAGGCATTTCAAAATCATGAATACGAATTTTATTCACTGATTTTGGTGGTTTGCCTTCCGGGTTAAAAAAAAAGAAGTTTATTCACGTAGGAATTTATGCATTGAGGTCATTTAACTCTATAATTCAATGTATCAAATGACTCAAGGTAAAAGTAAGATATGTTTAATAACTCCAAGCCACCAACATCTTAATGAGATTGTTGAGCTATGATAGAATTGCATAGCCCATGATACTCATTTTCCTATTTTTAACCACACACATACAACATTCATAATGTCATCATATATTTGAAAACTCAAATTTCCATAAATTATCATTGGACCATACTATAAGTTCGATAAAATTTATTTTACTTAATAAAATCATATTATCCTCAATAACTCAATCTAATGAAAAATAAATTGAATGCTACTAATCACAATATGCAGCCTATTGTCGTCGATATCGCCTTGATTAAAATAGAAATGTCACAAAATTATACATAGTATATTCTAAAAACTTCTCTTGAAGAAAAAGATTGAATGACTAATTTGCAAAATTCTAAAACCTATAAGGGCTAATATCTTTAAAACAAATTAACTACACGAATGAAATTTAAATAAAAAACATGCATTGAACATTTTCTTTTTTTAGATAACTATAGTTAAAAAGATTAATTTCATTTGGATGCAACTGAGAGTTATAAAAATGCGTTTTCATTAGAAAATATCGATTGCAAACACATTTAGATAATTAGTTCAAAAATATGGCATACTCAATAAATTAGAATATGTAATATAAACCAAAGTTATTATCGACTAAACAAGTGACTTTCCATTAGTAAAACTCAAAGCAAAATCGTTCTAACCCGTGCACGGCACGGGTAAACATACTAGTTAGTCACATTTTAAATTTCTAACAAAACTATCTTCTGCGAGAGAAGTATTTTTGCTAGACAAAAAGTGGCATCTATCATGCTACATCCTATAATTTTATGAAGCATACCCGTGTAACCTGTACGTTGGGCTCAAATGATTTTATGAAGCATACCAGGATTAGAAAGTTTTTGAGGTCATGAGTTCGAGCCCTGGAAGGGCTACTTGAGGGTTAGTCAACCAAATAGTCCAGACACCTACCATAATAAAAAAAAACTTGCCTAGTAGCAATGACAAGGATAATGGCTATGAGTTCAAGCCCTGGAAGTGCTTGAATATCCATGCCCTCGCCTGTGTCATCATCATCCCAGCCCCATTGAAGGTCATTCTGATCATTTACTCCCGTAATGGCTGATCTGGCAACTTCCATGGAGGTGTAATCAGTATTCACTGAATTTCGTTGCGTTTGTCCCACTCTTTCGAAATCCACTCCTCTGGTTATGCTTCAGACAGGGGCTCTGTTCTTCACCCACCCGCTACCGTCTTTTCCTTTAGCACTTGATGGTCGATTGGCCTAACACTTCCCCCTCATCCACAGGGAGAGGAGCACACCCACCGGGGGATGCATCGCTGAGTCTCTGTCCCTGCTCGACGGGTGGGTCTTGCACTCTTGCAGACAAGCTTCCTTTGCACTCGATAGAGAAGAATGATTGAGAAACAACACAGTTGTTGAGCGATGAATAAGATAGTTTGACGGTAGCGTAACGGAGGCTTAACGTAGAACGGATACAGATTAGATGTCAAATAATTTAGGGGTAAGTTAGCAAATTAGGGGAGAAACGAAGGCATTAATATATTGATCCTTGCTCTAAACAAGAGTACACGTGTCTTAATCTTAATGGATAGGTACAGTACCTCTGATTTTGTCAAGGTACCGAAGAACACACCTTTTGATAAATGTCATTATAGCATCTTCAAAAAAGCACAATTTAAGGCAGAAACGTTTGTTTCCTTAAAAAAGGGATTTAGTTTTATTGGCATAAATAAAATGGATGCATATGATATGACCATCCAAATAAACCAACCTAAATTAGAAAGCTGCGACACGCTCTAATCATAATACCAATACTAATCATCATAAAAACAAAATATGTATGTTTCTTGTGTCCAGATTCTCACCCAACATGCCCAAGTGATAATTTGTAAGTGCAAGCCAACACTTTCTAGTAGTAACAGTTTTGAGAAGTGAAGTGAAAGCCTACTTAAAAATTCAGAATTCGAAAAAAATCAGGTAGAGTTGTTCATTATCCTGTTGTTTTCATTATTATCTTTAAGTAGATGAGAAACACACAAGCTAATGTGAATTAGTAACAAATTTGACCAATGTGAAATAGTAAAAATTAGTAATGCTAATATAAAAGTAGTATAAATAAAAGTAAGTTTGCAGAAAAAATGGATTGATGGCCAGGAAACTCATCCTTCAGATAATTCGATCCAAACTCCAGATATTATAAAATATGAATGGAAAAAATGTACCCTGTTGAGTAAACTAAAATTAAAGACTGGAAAATATGTTATAGAGATTAAATACTGAATGAGTGGAGAATAAATGGAAAACTGATGAGGACTAAGCTGAGTATCTTCCCATACACATAACAAATTATTTACTTAAATTATGACATACAAATATGGATTTTAATGCCATTAAATTATTTAATGGCATCAAATAAAAAAGGTACTTTATCCAATCTAAAAAGGGTACTTTATCCAATGTAATGGTAAGAAATTCATTATTAGATTAGAAAATAATCACCTGATTTGATGAAATTGTAGACGTCTTGTTTACAATTCAAACCAATCTAAACCAATCTGAATCTTGGAAAGTTTTTCTGAGCATAAGAAGTCTGCATTTTTCTTCTCCTGTTTTCCCGAGCATAAGATAGAAAAGTACATGTGATTAAAATATCCCATAACTCGATCATTAAATAAGTGTACATCTTCTTCTCTTACTTTCCTGGAAAAAAGATTGAAAACATAGAATAAGAGCTGCAGCATTTGTTCTGCAAAGTCAATCGAATTGAAATAGTTACAAATTCATTATTAGATTAGAAAATAATCACATGATTTAATGAAATAGTAGACGTGAGGAAGCTTTTCTCAAATGAAATCTTTTCAAATATTCCCAGCGGAAGAGCCAACAAAAAACCTTTTCTCAAGATCAGTTGCAGCAGGAAAAAACGATAAAATCAAAAGCAACTGATGTTTGATTAAACTGTGTAGGAGATCAGCCTAACCTTTCTCTAAAGCGACATAATCAACCCCCAAAATCAGCCCTACCTAAAATTTGCTCTAGAATTGCAGAATATTCTTGTGTAGACCCATAGACTTTTCCTAACAGATGATTCCAGTTGAATATTTCAAAGAAATCAGTTGCAACCACCCAAGTAAAAGACAATCCTAAAATTTCAACATAAAAATGCCACAATCCAGTCAAACATCACTTAAACAAAGCTCCCTGATTAAGAACCACAGCAGTCAGTTAATCACAACATTATCCCTAATATATCGAGCCACTGACCAAAACTTGTTGAGAACCACTCCTCTCCCTTCCCGGTTCCTTGCCCTTTTTCAGGCACAAACAACTCCTCAATCTCAAAAGGAGAACCCGAAACTTGTTTCCTGATCTAAAATTGAGTTGAAAACCTGACACTTGACTTAAAGATAGTGGCATAGCTCATGTTAGGCATATATTTGCTGATGGCAAAGGGCTACACAGGTTGAGCCTAAATCATCTTTTGGGTTTTGAAGGATGCCTAAAGCTTCCAACCCTACATATGATGTCTATGAAAGCTGGGGAGTTTCTCAAATAACACTGTTTTTCTTGGCTCAATATTCAGCATTGTTTTAGCATTTAAAACAAGAGAACAGGAAGTCGTCATTTTTCAAACAGAAAAGGCAAACAAACACATTTTTCATGTCTCGGGTCAATATTAGCAGTGTTTTTCTCGGCTCAATATTCAGCATTGTTTTAGGATTAGGTAACTTCTAATTGCATGTATATAAGAACGAAAGCATAGTTTTTAGGAATTTAGATAACCATCCACTTCTATTGTGAGTACCTTGCTTTTCTGCTACAAATCTAGAAACGCCTCAACAAATGTGAGGCGCGGTCTTGACTTCTTCGAAAGGGGGTTGCTTTCGGCTAAGAGAGAGGCAGGCGAAGCTTCTCGAGGTCTTAAATTCCAGCAACGGTTCACTTAAAGATAGTGGCGGAGCTTCTCAGCTCACTCAAAGGCGAGGGTGATTTCGCCTGAGTGAGGCTTCTGGGCACTCCCTGAGATTTTTGTTCGTTGTGGGACGTGATCGATTCGCACGGAGAGTGTGTTTGCATCTTCCAAAGGTGAGAAGTTGATTGAGAAGACATACACAGAAATGGCATGAGATATTCATGGTGAGAAGAAGAGAAACAGAAGGTCGTAAATAGGAGAGGTGCGAAATTACCTTGCATCTAAACTTGTAAGTAAGTGCGGCGGAGTGGAGCGAGAAGTATGCAGTGCAGGAGATGAGCGGAGAATTGAAACGGAGGTAACGGATGAGAAGAGCAATTATACATTAGTCATAAATGGCTGAACTTGTGTGCGTAGAATTGAAATATTCTAAGCTTAAAAGGGAAGAGAAAAGTATATTTCAGGATCTTGTGTTTAAACTTTCTTTCTCACCTCTATTACGTATTAAAATAAATGATTAAATCACTTCATCTATATAAATGAATTTAAACAGGGTACCTCAAGGTTACAACATCATTACAACTAAAAACACATTTGACATCTCAAATGTGTATACACCCTTTAGTTGCATGTGCACGCAGGCTAATTCATTTAGAAAAAACATTGCAATTGTCTATGTGCATAGACGAGTGAACAAAATATGTATACATTTTGTATACACCAAGAATGCTTGTGCCCACATTTTGTATATAATAACGTTCTTTACGATAATTTTAGCCAATTCATCCAGAATAGTAACTCTAGCATCACTTGTTTTTATTAATACATAATTCAAAGATCGAAATCATAAGTTACTAGTATGTATTTGCGAGAAAAGTCTTACCAAAACGACTCCATATATCATGTATATATACACTACCTCTGTCTAAAATACCTGTCTTTTTTTAAACTTTGGTCGACTATGTTTTGTTATTGGAAGTTGTTTATGATCTAAATAGAACACCTTAACTTTGCAAGCAAACATTTTATATTTTTAAATTTCAATCGGTATCCATCAGGAAAGCCCCTTCCGATCTGGACGCTAAAATATTATCATTCAAAATCGAGTGTAATGGACCCACAAGCAATTCATAGAGGGGAAAGGAAGCTAGAGTAACTGTTTACCAAAAAAGGAAACTGGAGTAAAACAAGCAAATCAGGGAGATGGTGAATTGTTACCATTTCATACCTGACTAATATACGGAGAATAAATAGGAGATGAGAGGAAAATGGATATGGAAGATGATGGTGCTTTTGATAGCTTTGGGTTCTTTTCAAATAATCTTCCTTTAAAGAAAAAATCCTTTCTTTGTATGATCAATTATTATTTCCTTGCTTAAAAGGTTCTCTTTAATTTAGCAAGATAGATCCGAAATTAAATGAAGAGAAAAGATATTTTAAGCAAGCCAGATTAATCAATCTTGAATTCACGGTGCAGTTCTTGGACCAGTTATATGGCTTGTTCCAGAGCACAACTTAAACTATTTTCCTACAGTCACTTATAACCAAAAGTAACACTAGTTGTTTGTCATCAACAAAACAATAAGTTCCAACAAGTACTCCCTTTTAAATGTCCCGGAAGAGGGTGACACGATTTTTGAGAAAGTAGATTTGTGTGGTTGATATTAATTGATAAAGTAAGAATAAAGTAAGAATGGTTTTGAGACACACAAACTTTACCAAATAAGGTATGAGACAATTAAATAGGGACATCCCAATATGGTAAAATAAGACATTTAAAAGGGGACGGAGGGAGTAGAGCATTTCTGTGAGATTGAGTAAATGCAGAAATCTTTGAACTTATAATCATTTTTCGTTTGATTTTGTTCTTTTATTCTAAATTACTACCTATGAAGTATATTATTTACTTCTGTAAAAAAGTCACTATTAAGAAGATTTAGAAAATATAATGGGGTTTTGAAATGGAACAAAGTAGTGTCTGGTTCTTTCTCTTGGCACGCTTCTAAGAAGAGTTCCACGGTCCCAACGACCTGATCGTTGTGGTTCACGGCAAGGTCGCAGATGCAACAAAGGAGATAACCATGCCAGTCCTTTTTGCTTCTTCTAATTGGTTAAAATGAGGAAAACTGCTTTGACCTCACGGATACGGGCGAGGAACAATAGTTTTAAACGTTCTCATAATGATTACTCGGGATCACTAACAGTCAAATTTAGAAGCCGTTTGGCAAAATCATTTTTCGGCTTATCAGCCGACTTTTTCACCAAACACGTAACTTTTACTTTCGCGCACTGAATTGTGTAATAAGTAGAAAAAGTAAGGCTGTAGTTACTTTTCTGGCTGTATTGGCTCAAGTTACTGTAGATGACCATTTTAGCTATTTTTACATATAATTTTTTCTTTATTTTATTAATAAAATATATTTTAAAAATAATTTTTACTTAAATAAGCAGACACAACCAATACAGCCACTTCAGCTTGAACTTCATAAATTCCAGCAGAATCAGCCAAAAAAACCGATTTTCGTGCTACCAAACGGGCTCTTAGCAATTATAAAATTAGATAAATATCTGAAACAAAGTAATTTTTGTTGGTAAGTTTATACAAGAATAGTAAGTGATTTAAACTAGCTAGTTGGTTTGACGAGGAGAAAGTTGAATCCAGACAGAATGAAGTAAGGCACTGGTATCATAATAGTTTGTACTTGAGAAAGTATGGAGAAAGTAGTGTTAATCATTGGTTCCCAGGCGCGCAATAAAAGATTGTGATGTGTTCCCGGGACCTTATTGGATCCACACAGAATGAAGTAAGGCACTTGTATCATAATAGTTTGTACTTGAGAAAGTATGGAGAAAGTAGTGTTAATCCTTGCTTCCCAGGCAATAAAACAATCTGATGTGTTCCCAGGACCTCCCTGCCCACCCCTTCAATTAAAAAAAAAATGGTCGTTGGGAGTAGAATCGGGATCGGGACCGCCCGGTTTGGGGTTCCGTTAAGCCAGACATCTTAGGATGTTTTTACTTGGACTATTTTCGGTCCCAAATTAGACTAGACGAGAATCCAATAGACCATAGCAAACTTAAACAGTCCAGACCAGATTTAAAAGAGAACATACCCGATCAGACTTGACTTCCGTAATTATAAATTACACATAGACCAGACATTTATCGGACCAGACCGTAATAGACCAGAGCATTAATAATAATAACAAAAACAACAACAACAACAACAACAACAAAACAACAACATTAGTTATAATTAAAACATACTCCCTCCGTCCCGATAGAAGGTTCACACTTTCTTTTTTGGGACATCCCATTAGAAGGTTCTCATTTCCATTTTAGGAAACAATTAACAATCTTAATTGAAAAATTAGTCCTAAAATTTCAAAAACAATACATTTATAACATCACATTTATCAATACTAACACATTATAACAAACACCTATTAAAATTATTTCTCAAAAATATACCCCAAATACTTTATTTAATTATCACCTAAATAACCGTGCCGTTTTGCAACGGGAACCTTCCAACGGGACGGAGGTAGTATATATTTATAGAATACATTGTAGTAGTATTGCGTCACAAAGCAAATCCGAATATTAGGGTAATTAGGGAGTGCACAAATACATTATTCCTAAGATAAGATGATAATGATGTAATATAATGATGTGAGATTTTAATAAAAACACATGTCAATACTTCAAAAAAGGGTGAACACGCTGAATCGACTTAAATTGTCGAAGCTCTAGTTGGAGTGTCTGATTGAGCTGAATTTACTTAATCACGGGAAAATTATGCATATAAAATATTTTTAGTAATAAAATAAAGAAAACAAAATAAGAGTATATAAAATCGTTCTTTACGATGAATTATTTCAGCCAATTCGGCCATAGTAGTAACTCTAGCATCACTTAGTTTTATTAATACATAATTCAACGATCAAAATCATAGGTTACTGGTATGTATTTGCGAGAAAAGTCAAGAACGAGAGTTACCAAACCGACTCTACATATCCTAAATATATACTAGCTCCGTCTAAAAAACCTGTCATTTTTAAAACTTTGGTCAACTATATTTTGTTATTGGAAATTATTTATGATATAAAAATGTTCTTTGCTAAAAGTAGTTTCATAAACGTCTAAAATTTATAACTATCGTAATATTATATAAATCAAAATTATGAGATGACAATTTTATTTGAGATGGGGACACTATGGATGTTTTTACTTAGACTGTAATTTGCTGGCCTGATCTGATCTGAACTGGTCTGGTCTGGTTTTTTTGTATTCTTATAACTACGCAAGTCTGGTATGTTCTGATCTAATATGATCTGGTCTGATGTGGTATGGGACAAATTAGTAAAAACATCCTATATTTTACATTTGCATTTGGGATGAGAAACATATAAATGAGAAAAATTAGGTGTGGCCCAACAGTTCAGCCCACTGGGGGAATTCTATCCCAAACGAAATACGAGTATATGAGCAATCCGGGTCGGTCACTTCTTCAACTGGATTTCATCGTTCACTTCTTCAACTCACAACGGATTTCCAACTGATTTCAGCGTTCTTGAACGATTCCGGTTGTTCTCGGAGGAGCAAAATGGAACTATTTAAACGTGATTTCCAACTGATTTCATCGTCCACTTCCGCCCCCCATTCGCGTCCACCAATATGGATGTTCAGTTCTACCCCAAGGCAAAGGGGAGAGTTACTACACGCAACTCTTTCCAGAAGCTCACTCTGAGTGATGGGGCGGAGGCGGCCGCCGCCGGAAACGACAGAAGTTTCAGGAGAAGGAAGAGGTCAGCCAAGTTTTACCCCGGCCTTCAGAAGACGCGGGCAATTGCTTATCCCGAGGGCGGACAGGAAGAAACCGAGTCAGAAAATTCAGGTATATTGTTATTTTGTTATTTATTCTTATTCTTTTTCCCTTTCTCTACTTAAGCGTTTCTTCAATAGATTCAAGTCCCGAAGATTCAAGTTCCCAAGTTTCAAGTTCGGGAGGACCCATGCAGAAGAGTTGTCAGAAGAAGAAGACGCTCCAAGATCAAAATTCTTAACTTCAATTTGTACACTCCTTCTTATTTGGCTAGTTTTAGGTAATTTCCACTCATTTGATTTTCTTTCCCCAATTAGATGCACCGGTGATGATTTATAGTCTTTATTGCAGTTATGGCAGTCTTTCTTTCACTCAACTAGAGCAGAAGATGCTCCCAGGCCTTTTGCACTGCATTCCTATTCCTCCTAGGTCAGCTAGATTTTAGGTCTTTAATTGATACTTTTTCAAATTCCTTGTTTATGCATTAATACTAAGCTGGTGATCATATTATTGTCCAGGCCGGAAGCAGTCAAGTTTCAGTCATCCAGAAGTATATAGTCTGATAACATGATCTAGTCTTTCTATTTGATTTGTAATCAATCATACTGTCGTGTTAATATGCTAGTTACTTGAGTACGTTTTCGATAAGGCATTTGTTCAGACCATGCTGTTGTGTAAATTCTTTCATATAATACTAAGCTGGTGATCATATTGTTTTCCATCTTACACTTTCATTTAAAACTCATTATAATTGCTAGCTCACATTCCCACCACTACAATTTGCTGCAAGTTGCATTTTCTTCAATCTCTGAGGATGGCAGGCCAGGGAAAGGGAACGAACAGTCATGATTTATTGATTTTTCTTTTCAATTGCAACTGAATTCTGCATCAGTATTTGAAATTATGTCAATGTGGATCAAATTGCTCTAGAATTTCAAATTAAGTTGGTATTAGGCATGGAACCTACTGTGCGGGACCGGACTGGACCAGCCCGGTGCCTCGGGTCCGAAACCCGTCCTTAACCCGATTTGAAAGGTAAAGCGGGGCGGGCTCGGGCTGCTGAAATGGGGACCCCGGCAAGGCCAGGCCCGGTTTGGGCCCACAACTGTTTTGTTTTTTTGTTTTTCCAGTTTTATTGGGCTTCCCGGGTTGGGCTTAATGTTTTTTTTGGGGGGGGGGGGGGGGGGGTTGGGGGGGGTCAGGAGGGGTGAAGGGCGGAAGGGGGGGGTCAGTGGGTAGTTTGGAAAGAAAAAAAAATATTACAACACGGCCCGGAGCGAGGCACGGCCCAACCCGAATCAGGCCCGGTGGCAACCCGGGCCAGTCTCGGGCCTTCCCCCAAATACAAAAGGCCTGACTGGGCCTAGGCCCGGCCCGGACCCAGACCCGGTTTGGTCCAAGCCCAGATGGTATACATATTTTCTCCAGCTTGTGTGGCCTTATTACAATCATGAATATCATCATATAATTTTTTTTGCTTTTCTAATTAATTCCTACCCCCACCCTCCAAACCCGGCCAAAACACCCCACCCAACAAGCCTACCACCCCAACACAAGGAAAGAAAATAGAGTAACGGGCCGGCCCTGGCCTGGCCGGTCAACCTGGGCGCAGTCCATCCTTAAGCCCAACCTTAAAAATGTCCAAAAAAAAAAATATTTGGGCCTGAATCGGGGTGGCCCGGCAGATCGGGCCGACCCGACACAGGCCAAGTGGCCAACCCTAATTCACCCATGTCTGAAACATGGCGAGTAGAATTTCATTTAAACTAGTATTTCACGCGTACGCTGCGCGGGACATGTTTTTTTGTATTTTGTTTTTAACGTAAGATGCATATTGAAATATTTGTGCAGAATATATTTGTTCAAACAAAAATGAAATACTTGTATGATATGTGACAAATGTTATACTAAATGCATTTATAAAATATTGTGGATACTTTTACCCCAAAATATTCCGGATTCTAATTTAATTTCTAATACATCAAATGTAGTACAGAATATTTAAAATATTAAAAGTTTGTAATAGTACACTCATTATATCCATCATGAAATATGCACTATTACTTGGAGAAATTTTTATCTCTTATTCCCTGAGACTCTTAATGGAAATCGTGAGGAACAAGTTCATCATATTTGGAACACTTGTTTAAGATATGTTCACACATAGTAGGGTGTCCCCAATATTTGGAAAACTAAATCCTCCGAGGATAAGTGCCAAAACTACAAAGCCAGAATATCTACAAAGTGTGTGGTTAGATGCTTCAATGAAAAATACTATAAATAGTGTTTCCTTTTCCCGTTTCTCTTCCCGAGCAACCTTCTCTTTTTCCCTTTTTATAGCAGAAACTTCCTCACAAGGATTAGGTAAGATGTTAGCTCCTTCGATATTTACTGGGTTCTGGTACCGCATCATCCTTTACAATATCATCAGCCTTGTTCTCCCACAGCTCAGTGTCTACCAGAGTTAAGATCTCCCCAATTGAATCTGTGGTGTAGTAAACTATATGATCCTTCCCCAATTGTTTTTTTTCTTTCTAGCTGGTGGAGGGGCTTACACGTAAAAGCATCATGTCCATGCTTTTTATAGTGAAAACGGTAATTAGGGAAGGTCTCATAGATGATGAATTGTCTTCTATTCTGCCTAGAGGGAAGCTTGATATCGACAAACAAAGTGTGAGGCTTAGAAGCATCAACTCCCACCAATATTCTAGCATAATCCAATCTCATCTTGTCAGTTGTCACTACTCACTAGTAATACCGTGATTGAATATAGGCAAGCCAACTCTTGAAGCGATCTTCCTAATATCTCCTCCTTCCAACAATCCATAGGTAGTTTGAGGCAGTATAGTCCACATGGGTACTCTCAAGAACTCCTCATCATCATAACTAAACCGTGCCTGCATATTTTTTAACATTAGGCCCCTCCATAAGTACTTTTGTTCAATCTTCTTCATTTGTTTTTTATCCGAAAGACAACCAAACCTCGTTCATGTGTTACCAATTTACATCTAATTCCCCAGGTTTCTGTGTGAAGATGAATAGCCCTCATACTCAAGAAAATCTTCCTCTGTTGATATGTATCTCAGCCGAAGACCTCTGTGCACTCACGTACCTCTTTCTCAGACACCTTCTGTGCACTCACCTCTTTATGTTCTTCATTTATTCTACCCTCTGTTTTCTGGTTCACTGCTTCCTCCTCCCTACTCATCTCTTCAACCTCTTCAAGAAGTGAGAACTATGTTGATGTCAACATCGACCTTCCTTTTACCATCATCTTACTATTCATCATAACCTGGGACTCGGGCTGGGGCTGGGGCTGCTTTGGATCAATTACATATTTGTCGGTGAAGGTACCAGTTTTCTCAGATGAAGCAGTCTTCTTATTCTTCTCCATCCTGAGAGGGAAGAACACAAACGTCTCAAAGCGGGGAATATACTCTAAGCAAGCTACGACATAGGATCTCTATGGGATTACATAGGATCTCAAATAAGCAAGAAAATGGGTGTTAATTTTCCAAGTTAGAAAGCTGCATGTAGTATTTTGTTGAAAAAATTACGTGTGAATAGGCAGTAGTAAGTCACGCATATTGATCTTGTAATGAAATGCAAATTTAAGCTATGTGCACCTTCATGTAATATGCCACATGCCCACATTACTATATCAATTGAGTTATTAGCCTCGAGCAATTTGTGAAAGATAAGTGAAATTTAAAGCATCAAATATCAGCAGCCAACAACCAATAATAGACAAAATCGCCAAATAATCAACACAAGTCTGAAGTGGCAAAAAAATCCTAAATATTTTAGGATTAAAACTAAGTGAAATTGTGCCGGCCACACTACCTTGGCATATATAAATAGAACCAAGATCGTTAATTTCACTTCACAATCATATCATACTCTTAGAAACTGTAAACAACATTTCAACCCAACTATATAATCTTCACCGAAATCGGAGAATTTTGAAAAGCAAAAAAAAAAAATACATGTCCCAAACTTATAACGCTGCTAAGTAAGATGAGGAAAATCAAAGATTGAAACAATATTTCAATAATCATCGTACAGTAAGATGGGGATAATCATGTTGGAAGGACCAAATAAAGTAACGCATTCCCATAGTATTTTTTTTTAAAAGTTATTTTATCTACAAATAAAGTAAAACATTTTTATCAAACTTGGGGCTGAATCCGAGCAAGACATTGCCCCATTAGCTACACCGGCATTTAGTAAAGATGCAGGGTGGTAAATAAGACAGGTCAATAAAAAGATTTTTTCCAGATAATTTTCTGCAGAACTTTCCACATGCATGAGAAAAGATCTAAATTTATGGAGGGTTCATACCTATGCTTGTGGTAGTGTTTATGTGCATATATACAAAAAGTGTCCATATATTGTTGTACATATACGAAATACTATTGCACAAGACAAGCAAAAAAAGCTGTTTGATAAAGCTTTGTTAAATCAATGGTAGTTTTTTTTGCAAAAAAAAGGCCCTTGGACCCTTAATCTAGTTGTAAAAAATCATGTTCACTACATTGCAAATGTATCCATGATCATAGTCACAAAATTTTCAAAAATAGTGGCTGGGTATAAAATGTCACATTTTTTTCTGCCATATGGATTTATTCATATATAACTCACTATTTCTATTTTATTATTAACATATAAAAAATTGTTGTAGGCACATGGTTGGGTTTTCCTTAATAAAGTTTAAAAAGTATACATCTAGCTCTTGAAGTTTTAAAAAAAGAATAATAGAAAAAAATAGTGTTTCACGTACGTGTTTTTAAACAAACACCAAGGTGCATATATCTGGCTCTTGAAATGCAAATACTGATACTGCAACCTTCACTAAATATTAGAGTAGCTAGTTCCTTGTATTTCATTCATATATTTCTTTTTTTATAAAATTTAATGTTCTCTGTGCCATTAACATGGCAGCATGGGGAAATAAGGTTAATGGAGAAATCCTCTTTAGAGATTGAAGTGGTAGACAAGTTGTAGCAGGCTGCATTTCAATAGTCCACTCGGTAATGAAGTTGTTTTCTCCCTCCTACCCTTTAGTTGGAGTAGTAGTGTGGAATTTTGTAGCAGGAAATAGATGTTATATCACAACGACTTATGGATCAAGTTTCCAAAAAAAAATATTAGCAACATATGAAGCACTTCACATGTTGCTAATAAACAAGCCTTTATTCATCTTATTGAAAGTGATTGTCTTTCTACTGCTTGTTCAGTCTCCAGGTAATAAACCATAAAGTAAATCTGCCATCGCTTGTGGGAAGGAGTAAGAAGGAAGTCTTGGCCTTTATTAAAGAAAGGCTTAATAGTTGGAATCATAAGTTTCTTTCAAGAGCTGGACGTGAGGTCCTTCTAAAAGCCGTGGTGCTGTCTATGCCCAGCTATGCTATGCAGGTGTTCTTATTTCCTCAAGAGCTTTATGCGGAGCTGGAAAGGTTAATGAATAAATTTTGGTGGACTGGCTCATCCGGGCGTGGTATAAAGTGGAAGGAGTGGGCGGGAATGTCTTCACCAAAGTCAAAGGGAGGTATGGGTTTCCGAAAGCTTAAGGAGTTCAATCTGGCAATGATAGGGAAACAAGTGGGGAATTTTATGCAAAATCGAAACAGCTTAGAAGCTTCCGTTTTTCGCGCTAGATATTTCTCCAAAAATTCTTTTTTGGAGGCTAAAGTTGGCCACAACCCTTCTTTTATTTGGAGAAGTCTTTGGGAGGCTAAAGGGATGGTTAAAAAGGGATTTCGTTGGAGG